GGATTTTACTCAGTCCTATAACCTCAGGCAAGTAGTGCTTGAGCCTACTCGTGGTCGCAACATTTTGGATATAATTCTAACGAACTGCCCTCCTCTTATTGATAGCTCCTCTGTCAAAGCTCCCTTCTCTACATCTGATCACGCTATGGTGTCCTTCTCTTTATCCGGGAGTAATTTTGAAAAGGTCCAAAAACCCAGCCTCGATTTCGCGAAGGGTGACTACTCGGCGATATGCCGACGTCTTCTTTCGGTCAATTGGCAGCACATTTTCGATACTCTTGAAACGATCGACGAATGCTACTTCGTTTTTGTTGAATTCTGCCATTCCCTTATATTAGAGTTTGTGCCGTGCACTCGCAAATCCAGTGGGATTTCGAGGCTTCCTCGTTATCTGGAAACTTTGCGCAATCGAGTCCAACAGTTATTCACTAGTGGGAATTATTTACGTAACCCGCGCTATGCTTACATGTCCCGCCTACTTAAGAAAAAGCTGGCTAAGCTCAAAGTTAAGTATGAGGAACGCATTGCCTCTTCTAGGAATATTAAGAGGTTCTGGAGCTACTGTAATGCTAGGCTCAAGGATTCCAAATCTATCGGCACCATCTTTTCCTCTGACGGTACAATATGCGCTTCCGACTCTGATAAAGCCGAGACCTTTGCAAAATACTTCAAGAGCTTCTATAAGAGGGGAAGTTCACTGTTTGCTGACAATTCGATACAGCCCGATAGCACTCTAGACTGGGTGGATATCAACTGTGAGAATGTCTTCCAAACTATTAGGAATCTTCCCTCACGCTGCTCTACCTCACCGGATGGTCTGCCATATATTTTTCTTAAGCGGGCTGCTGATGGGGTTACTCCCGCCTTGACATGTCTTTTCAACAGGATACTCCTTCAAGGGGTGGTACCCGCGATCTGGCGCCTCGGGCTAGTTAGGCCAATACATAAAAAAGGAAGCAAGAGTGACTTTAGGAACTACAGGCCTGTGTGCCTCACCTCATCCGTTAGCAAAGTGATGGAAAGGATTGTATGCGGTCAACTGAGAAGCTTCCTTGTATCGAATGGTATTTTATCGCAATGCCAGCATGGCTTCATTCCTAGGAAGTCAACGGCTTCAGCGCTTCTTTCTGTCATCCCAAAATGGCAGCACGCGGTCGATAAAAAGAAACCTGTTTTTGCCGCTTACATTGATTTTCTCGAAAGCATTCGACTCTGTACCCCTGCCCCATCTATTCTGGAAGTTGGAGCAGCTTGGTATAACCGGCTGCCTTCTCAGGTTTATAAAATCATTCTTCTCCTACAGGCATCAGAGAGTTCTTCTTAATGGATCTTGTTCTGAGATATATCGAACGGACAGTGGTGTTCCGCAAGGTACCTGCTTAGGGCCTTTAATGTTCGTCCTGTACATTAATGATTTGCCTGAATGCCTACCTTCTGGAGTTCACTGCTCCATGTATGCCGATGACGTCAAGGTATACTGTATAGATCGACCGTCCCATTTACAATCGGCGCTGGATACCATATCGGAATGGGCCACCAAATGGGGTCTGACTATATCACTTGACAAAACAGTGTGCTTGAAGCTAGGGCCTCCTTTTCTGTTTTGTCCCAAATTCTCAATAAATGGTTTTGAGCTCAGAGAACCAGATGTGATTTGTGACTTGGGTGTCTGTTATTCCCGCTCACTGGATTTTAGCGATTACATTGTAAAAGTGGTACGCCTAGCGCGTTGTAGAGCTAATTTCATTCTGCGCGCTTTTTCTACAAGGATATCAAAACACTGTTCCAACTCTTTGCCACCTACGTGCGCCCCATCTGGAATACTGCCCTATGTTGTGGAGTCCCTACACTCGTTCCATGGTTGAACTCATTGAGAGCGTTCAGTCTAGTTTCACTGAGCGAATTTTCGCTCGTGAAGGTATGTTCCATGTTCCATACAAGGACAGGCTCAATCTCCTTAGGGAAGACTCACTTGAAATGAGACGCAAACTTTATGATTATGACTTCGTTTATAAGCTCTCTGCTGGATTAGTGGATCTGGATTTTGAAGCTCTATTCAAAAAATCTTTAACGATTGGTCGCACAAGGGGTCATAGCTTTAGACTTTTGAGAGAGAAAACAAATTCAACAGAATTTCGGAGTTCGGTCATAGCTTTAGACTTTTGAGAGAGAAAACAAATTCAACAGAATTTCGGAGTTCGTTTACGCAAAGAGTGATTACTCTTTGGAATGATTTGCCGCCCTCCATCATTAACTCTGAGTCCTCGAGCTCATTTAGGAGCAAAGTTAGAGAGCTTCTAAGATCACAAGGGTGGTTCTAAGAACAGAAACTGGAGTTTGATAGAACATGAAAGGCACTGAGGCGATAACTCTTAACTTCTAAACTGGCATTATGTTGTATCATTATTATCTAATGCTGCTTTGTTCCACTTTATTAACTATGTTGTTTTTTTTTATTTTTTCTGTTTGTTCATTAGCGACCCGATCATTGAATCTGTGGGAGTCGGATCTCGGCAAAGTTGGCGGACCTACTAAGCTGGTATCCGGAGTTCCTGTTCGTGCACCTGAGCTTGCAGTGTTGGCGGCCACTGCCCTTCTGCGCCGATTATCCACTTCCCTTCCCGCAGCGTTTTATGGTGTAGTATACTTCAATATCGGAGATCTGCTTTTATTCGTGTTGTCTTTATTTTATTTGATTGGACTACCGATAATAAATCATAAATCATAATAAAAAACTCGAGTAAAAACCCGAATAGACGCTGCAATGATGACGGTGGAGGACATCAATGGTGACCTCTTTGCGGCTAACAAAAAACGCTGGAAATGGAAGTTTGGGTCGAACAGTGGTACCCCCGAAGCTCTCTGGTACCAAGTACTGATCCATAGGAAAGAATCATGAAAGAAGGTTTAACTCCATAGAAATGAGAATACTGAGGTAGACTTGCGGCTCGGCACGACTTTGTCAGAAACGAGGACCCCTCAGGAAGGACAGACTGCCCCTTTTCAATAGATGCGCAAGAAGAACGACTGCCATGGAATGGCCACGTATATTAAATTGGTCCTATATTGATAAGACATAAGGAGTCACTTCGGGAAGGAAATCAAAGTACTCTTAAAGGCAAAGTTCGGGCTCAGACCCACTTAATGAGCCTTTACGGTGGCTAGAAGCGCTAGGGTACGCAAGTGTAGAGGTCGCGTCACTTCCCTACTTCGAAAAGCGTTATTTAGACGCTAGGCGCTAAGAACTTTGACACGCTCCACCTGCTGCGACACGCTCCGCCCACCGCTCGATATCTTGTCTGCGTCGCTAACTTGATCTGCTATGCTCTCTCTACTCGTACTTCTCTAGCGCTCTCCGCGCTCACATTATCTCTCATCTCCCTGCCGGCCTTTTGAACTTCTCCGCAGCGTAGAGCAAAAGGCTCGTATTTCCTGTGCATTTCACGATTTTTTTCCTTTTTTCTCCACTGGCGTCCACTTCCTACCCCTACCTTCACATTTGAGTGGAATTACCTCATAATTTAATCCTGAACCTGCCTTTAAGCTCGAGGTGAGCGACCCCGAGGAGCGCAAAAACAGGTGCAACAAAACATTGTCATGAAGGACCCACTGGAACCAAAGCAACGCCAAAAGATATGAGGTTGTTCGGAAAGCAATGCGGGTTTCGGGATGTTATACATGCTTAGGATATTTTAGCGCCAATTCTTTCGAGCACTTGAAACTTAAAGGAATCTTCCGCGGAAAAAGCTCCGCCTCCATTACCACAGAAAAACGATACCTTAGGCCCCTAGCCTCATGAGCATAGCAAAAAGAACGGAACATAAGCGTTAGTTTCGATAATACTAATCCTACACACAAGACAAAATGATCACTCTTTCCGTGGAAGATTCCTTTAAGGTATCGTTTTCTGTGGTAATGAGGGCGGAGCTTTTTCCGCCCCCCCCCCCCCCCCCCCCCCCCTCCCCCCCCCCCCCCCCCCCCCCCCTGGAAGATTCCTTTTAGGGGTAAGCATTCCTTCGTGGGAAAGACAGTCACCATGTTGCGCAAAAAACAGACTGTCTGCGAGTAAAAAATGTTGGAATTGATGCCGGCTTTGAAAATAGAGGTCAAGCAAGCATTACTTACCGGGAAACCTAATAGCTTGGAAATGAGAAAGGAAAGCTATCTAAGGCAGGAGGTTCCGAGATGGCTCGACACTAGCGCTAAAGGGAAATGGGAGGAAAAGAACAAGAGTTCCATGTGGTGAAAATGTAGTTTCGGGGTAGCCACTCACAATATCTAATCGAACTGACTAATATCTAATCGAAGTGGAGCTGCGGAGGGCGATCATATCTAATCACCATCCAGAGCACAGTCTCTGAGTGTATGATTAGATAGGGATACCAATCCGTGATTCCATACAAAATCGGATACCTGGAAGGGCCCTTTCTTCGAGGGCTTGCATGGCAGTCGCAAGAAGGTTTGATGAAAGTGAAGCCAGCAAGGTAGCAGCCATTTTAGCCATAGAATAATATGACAAGGGTAAGCGTACTAGTCGTAGGCCACGGTCTCAGTGAAAGATATGATAAGATATAAGTGCCTTCCCGCAGCTCCACTTCGATTAGATAGGGTGGCCCCTCAAACTACATTTTCATCTTCCATGTTTCTCTAATGCTTCACCTCTCAGTACTCCGATCGCTTCCTAACACACCATATCCACACATATTCACATAATCCTTATCGTTAGAAATGGACTTTTTTCGTGGTTAAAACTCAACAATATATTCACGGTTGTAGTCAAAAAGCAGTACTACCTGTTAAAAGGCAATATCTTAACGAGAGTGGTGGAATACATCCATTAAATTTACTGGATGTGCTAAAGAAGAAAGGTAAATTTTAAAAAAATGGAAAATGGCACTTTTCTGACAACCTAGTACAAGTGGATAAGTCTATATCCCATATCTTGCCATTTTTACGTTGTACTATTTGAGAAAGTTGTATTAGTATGTTTAGAAATCTGAATGAGAAACTTTTCAATCCTTATCGATTTTTCGGTAGCGCGGAGTCTTGGCCGAGAGGTTTTCCTCTAGACTACTTACAGGTGAGGAAACAAGATTGAGGTTATCCTAGAGGCTAAGCGATCTGTCGCCATAGTTGATTCGAACATATCTGTAGTTCTTTTATTGTATGAGATATTCAGAATCACACCAATGATCCAGACCAATTCTGTTTATGTCATAAAATGCGAACTGCTGCGGTTCAACAAGGTCTCGTACACAAGGATCCCGACGTTGATGCAATATTCAGGTATGATAGAGGTAGCGCTGCAGTGATGCCCTGAAATAGTATTAAAGATCTCGATTCTCTCTTTTAGGCCTTTAAACCTTCAGAAGCTCCTTGGAATTTTAAATTTCGAAAACCCAATGACTGGGTTAAGGATTGAAGGACACGGATACAAAGTCAAACTTGGTCACTATGGTGTTTCGTCAGCCGCAGACCACTCTGGAGAATTACGACTATGACTTGTAGAAACCTTGCATAAATAGAAAGCTTTCGAACTTTTGTGGATATGCAGATGTCCAAGTCCTCCATCTTGTGATCGGCGGTAATGTGGTAACGATGGATGAAGAATTTCATTAGAAAATTTTGAGATCCGCTACATCAATTGCCTATAATAGATACTTTCCAAGTAAGTAACGCTCTGATAGCCCTACCACAAATACCCCCCCCCCCTTCAGAAAGCGAGAAAGTGTCGGGTGCAGACCATACACCACAAGTGACGACGGCCTTCACAAAATGTTAATGTTTTCTGCCATGAAATGATTAGCCTGTTGCAGTTGTATTCCATCGATTGTCACTAATTACAACTATCATTTACCAGAAATCAGCTAGCACTACGAACAACTTCTAACCAAATTACCTGGAGGCCGTCGTCAGTTGCAGTGTTTGTTCTGCACCCGACACTTTCCCTCTTTTTGATGGAGAGGTTATCTTTTTCGTTACACGCAAAGTAGTTCTTTTTGATCGGTCATTGAACTCGTGATCGTTTAAGGCTTCTACATCTGACAAAAGCAGGGTCTTGTGGTAATGTTCCAACGTTTGCCCCTCAGTTATCCTCTTGAAGCCGGGTAGGCTTATAAATTCATCACTTAGATAGATGATGAATTTTAGTGTTTAGGCATTGGTCTGCCAGTTTCAGAGATTATGTTATTTTTGTTCTTTCCAGCAGCACAATCCATCCATCACCAAAAGAAAGACGGTTTTTCCACACCATCATTAGTTTTAACAACAAATAGTTCGGTTCAGGGCGAGATAGAAAGGACTATCCTAACCAGGAAATGATGACTCAAAGTGGCCATATGCAAAGCGACCTACATTAATAGATGTGTTTTCGACGCTGATCTCGTTTCGCTTTCCAAACCTGTCAATCTATTCTCTAGACGGAGTTATGAAGCAAAATAGAGCAGCGGTAGTGATCCGATAGAGAACCGCTCAGGGAACCGATCATGCGACCCATGGGCGAGAGGTCCATGTTCGGTTCCCTGAGCGGTTCTCCATTTATTTTCGCGGCATCACGATTGATAAAGAGTCCTAGCTACGTTACTTCATCAACACTTGCCTTTATTACTGCAAGCAAAAGTTTACGAAAATTCCTCGACAAGTGTGGATGCTATGTGCGATAGAGAAGATGCAACTTGACCTCAAAATTCTTGGACAGACGTTATTGTCGGCAGCAGACAATGTATATCCTGTTTCGGAGACGCGATACATTCTCGGCAACTTTGTAGCCGAATCACATCCGCATGGTTATTATTAACTAAATCGCCCGAGTTTATATTTGCAGCCCGCTCGAATCCATCGGACTCTTCGCTTAATCGTCACCACACTACGCTATTTTGTTCCATAACTCCGTCCAGAAAACCCAGAAAATTGGCAGTTTGCAAATTGGATTTCGAGATCAGTATCCAAAACCACATCTAACTAGTGTGGATTTCGTTGCATATGACCACTTCGACTCATCATCCTTCCTTGGTAAGGTGTACTTTTCTATGCTCTTGAAACCAGTAGTCTATCACTGCCTCTTCACCGTATCATCGTTTCAGGAACTTATGCACCTTGGAATTCCCAGAATACTCTGTTCCACAAAAAAGCATTTTTCATGCTTTTCCTGCCTACTACTGTGACGTTTGTATATGACTCTGAAGCAATTGTCTTATCAGCGAAGCCACCTAATCAACACTTAAGCACAACGGACATATGGCGGTCATACATAGCACAGAAGTTGTTGCATATGATCGGAGAGACCGTGGCATTCTACCCACCGAATGCTGTGCAGTACAGAAATGCGCACGATTACTTGGCAGACTTTGAAGACGAAAGGTACTCATGTTTTCTGTACATAAAGTTTTGGAGTGGAACGCTAATTTCTTTAATTACCTATAAAATATAAAGCTTTGTTGGAGTTTTGGACACCATCACAAAAGGCGAACAGCGATCGATGGCTAAATAGGTCAGCAGCATTGCAATGAATGATTCGTGCTCAGGTACAACTTGTCAACCATAGACAAGCACTGTACTGACCGCCGCTATACTGTGCCTCGCTTTGAATGGATTATGGGTATACATATATCCTTTCCTTCGCACACCCCTATCCTCACTCGCTAGATTGTCCCCAACCGATCTGTAACATGTGTGGCAAACTTCTTCCACTTTGGTGGATGCTCCACCCACTAATAGCAGTTGACCTCCTTTCCTTCGCCGACCTCTATCCACCTTTTTCCCGGTCTCCTGGGACTTCTTGGAGCCGAGTTATAAACTTGGCAACAAACTCGCCCACTATAGTGCACACCATGCCCACCTTCAACGTTTAAACTCCCCTCATTCTCTGACCTATAACTCCGCCCACTTTGGTGGATGGCCCACCCTCTCATGACAGTTGTCCTTCTTTCCTTCGCTAACATTACAGTGGTATTTTCACAGTTTCCAATTGATGTTGAGTGGGCAGGTTCTTCGCTGCTCGACCTGGAAACCCAACCAGACACCATTTTTCTAAAACTGCAGGGCATGGTTTTTGGTCACCTGATATCAAAATCTTTGTCCTCTTGACCGCAGATCAAAGCCTGCACCCATAGTTATTACGCCGTTTCTGCCCATTTTCTACGAACCACACGTCTAACACAAAGCGCTTCAGGGATGTCTACCTGAAGTCGGGGAAACTGATCGAGTTTCTTGATCAATGGAAATGTCCACATTCAAGAATCGATAGATGCGCCACCTTGCTTGCACAACATCTCTGGTGAGTATTTCATGCTACTGGAGCACTGAATGACAACGTAAAGTGAATGTGATCCAACTCATGTTCATTCGTTGCTGACTCGATTCATTTCTCCGGCAGCCGCTGAACGTTTTCCTACTTTAATGCTTGTCCTCATTGTTGTTTAGCAGTATCCTAGCTTCAGCGGATGTAAATCCGCACGTTATGAGTTGATTGTTTGGCGTGTAGCGAATTGTAATGCCCGCTTCACAACATCCATATCCTTAGATTAGAAACATGTCAAATGTTTTTTTTAGTTTTTCTGGAGATTTTGTTCTCAGTTTCCCATATGTAATAATCTTCTTTTTCACAACCATTGGGCATTTTGTGACGGGCAGATAAACCGACCGACAAAGCGGCACTACAAAGTAAAGGGCTCGTATAAGGATAAAGGATAAAGCATTTGCCGTTGATCAATCCCCTTTTGGGATGCGGCACGCATTCTACTTCCATTTGTACATTCGTAGTGGCGTTTGAATGCGATGTGGCCTATACAATGACTTGCGGGGGCCAGCCGATGTACAAGTCAGTGTTTTTATCCTCCCAGACAAGTCTGGTACCAATTAACCGACCCCGGAGGGGATGGAAGGCTTGGTTGGCCCGGGCGACTCACGACCCAGGATTTGATCCCCGGACCGCTCGCGTGGTAAGCGTGCCACTTGCCACTACACCACTTCCGCCCGCTCGTGTCCTACTTACTATAATTCGATTCGTCTTCGTCTGTTTGTCTCTTTGTCAGGTCTGCCGCAAATCCAGCATTGCCTGGGAAACTCCCTGGAGCGACCGGATCAAATTTGCGATGGTGGGCTACGCGAGAGAAGTACAAAACACACATCAGCTAGGATGGCCCCCGCCCATGGTGGGCGTGGCATGCACCACTACCAAAGGCGGAAAATTTCGTGTTTGATTCCGAAACAGCTTAGAGACCAGGGTAAATGAGTACAGATGTAAATATTGACAAGCCACGGTGATTCAAAGAAGGGCGCACTTGTGGTGTTTGGGGTGCTTTCCTGAAAGGCGTTGTGCCTCAATAAGAAAAAACCAATGGGCGCGATTTAAGGAAAGTTCGAATGCAGCAGAGAATAGGTGCAGGATGTGGAGCAATCGTCACGATATGTTTCTCGCCCGGATATAATGGTGCCAGAGGAGGTTCGCCCACAGTAGGAGATAACGTGATTCTTCGCATGGGAGGGCATTTCTGAAGATCGCTCATAAGTCGGTTTTTCGAGATTCTCAGAACCTGACGGGGAAAATCGCGGATGAAGAATGGCCGAAGAGAAGTAGTCCAGCTTGCCTTAGTCAGGCGAGCCGATTCGGCCGGAGTGGGCGCTGTTTACCTCCAAACCTGTAAATCGCTTCCAAGAAGTCTCAGAGACCGGGAAAACCGAGGTGGGCGGGGCTAAAATCAAAAATCGCCGAGGTCTTAGATAGCACGAAGATCGGGAAGAAAGTGGATAAAATCTAGCCTGGAAAGAAAGGAAAACATCTGTGGTGAATGGGGCTAAATTTGAGAATTCTGGCGAAACACTGATAGGTGCGAAGAATCGGGGCTCATGCGACAGGCGTACTGTGGATCAACTGTCAAGAGTATGAAGTCAAAGAGAATGGAGAGTCACCCTAATATGTGTGGTTTTTACAAGTCTCCTGAGGGAAATAAAGGACAAGAAGCAAGTAGGAATGGCGTGATGTTGACGTTTATGTGGTCAAATTCGCCGTACACGTACATTAATGAAATCAATATAATGAACTCTACCCTTGCTAATGCCACGGTACAAAAATATTAATTAAACACAGTTGGTGAAGGCCCAGCGATTTCATAGTGAGAACTTCTCAACCTTTTTCAGTAAACAAGGATTTTGGGGTGCTGATGATGCATTGCTGCTACAAAAGTGGGATGACAGATCTACGGAAACCGGGTAATGTGCCGTTTGCCTTCGGAAATGATTGAATGTCTATTTGATCCGCGTAGAAATGAGAGAGAATCCCGAAAGGACAATGTGTGTTAGTGAGTTTCTGAGCTTACGATACCCTCTAGAGGGAGTCCCGATACGAACCCTCACCACAGCCTTGGAGTGCTCCATACGAACCCCTCACCGCCTACATAGTATATTAACGCCGCAGTCCATAGCTTGCGAGTCGCTGGAATCGCCAGCGTTGCGCCACGCGAATCAAAGGTTGCTCAGCCTTAGGAATCGGAACTTGGCGTCCTGTCCCATGTATGACCGATTGGCTGTACGCACTTTCGAGACCCACGCTACACACACGTTCCAGCTCGCCAGCGATCCCCTCGACAAAAGTAAAGATCCTGTGAAAATTACCGGCAGAATCGTTTGATTGCTCTAAGTTTCCTAGCCAGCTTCATTTACAGTTCTGAAAACCTTCTCGTACGTCTGGCTAACAAACCAGCACACACCCGTGCACCAGGACCCTGCCCTTATCTGATCCACTCTCAAGAAAACACGATCCCTTCTTACAACAAACCACACAATATTGCAGAAACCGCTTCACCTCCCCCCCCTCCACCTTCCTGGGAATTCCGAAAAGGACCTCTGTTCGCCTTTTCTCGCGGACCTATACCTCAGGACTATCTGTTCTACCATACAGCCGCCGCATCCTCACTTACTTCCACTTCTCATCAGGGTCATTCTTTCAGGTAGCTATGTGCACATAGCCTCGCAACACCTTCGCACCGCTCGTCTCCGAGAAAAGCACAATCAAAGTCTGAAGCCCCAGCAAACCATCGTTCCCCACGCGCCACGCGCGCTCTCCTTCACCCGCGGACATTTATTGGTGGGAACGGGCGCGCTAGTTCAAGTCAAGACATAAATGTTAGATCCTGAACAAAAACAACTCACCTTCCGAACCGCTAGAAAGGGAGCTGAAGAGCTTTGAAGTGGGCGTGGTTGCCAATCGGCCAAGGGGAGTGCAGCCGATTGTAACCACGCCCACTCCGAAGCTGTCAGCTCCCTTTCTGGCGGCTTTCTAAGGTAAGTTTTTTGTTCAATCACACTTTTTATTGATCTTCCCCTCCCTCGCGTCTCGTTCCCGCCCACACCCCTACTCGCGCTCGTGCATGACGCCTCAGGTCCGCCGTCCAGGCACCGAGTGCGTCCCACGCCATCGAGTGCTCTTGTCGCAACGACGTGACAAACCCTGCTGACTTAGGGTTCGCTTTAAATATTTGATAGACAAGGAGAAAGCCGAAAACTTATAGTAATTAAGCACTTGCAGTTTTCTATTTATAGATACCAGTTCCCAGTTCAAGCAAAACACAGCGTTGAGTATACAACAACTGAAGGAGAATCTCGTGAAGTGAATTGCCGTAGGACAGCAGTCGAGTTTGAAAGAGCATTGCCAGCCAAGGAACAAGTAAGACCTTTTACAAGAAACAGCCTTCCATATGATCTGTTTACCAACAAATCTATTTAACTAAGGAGGACTTCACGATAAGGTCGAAGAAAGGGTAATTAGTCTAAAGGAAAGGGTACTCAGTGTTCAGTAGTCTTGACTACCAGAAATTCACGGCTTAGACTGTGCTAATGTTTCGGTAAAGCTGGCTTTTTTGGAGATTGAGCAATCGCGGGCTTCAAGGCTGGAAGGGCCTTCACCATACCGCGAAAATACTCGGAGTAACGCTTGCTTAGCAACTGAGACCGCTTTAGAGTTGAAAACGCTCCATTATGGTTTACCGTCAAGTAACCGATTTCAGGAATATCAACGATCACTAGAAAAAATCAACGCCTTCGGTGACCTAGATGACTGGTGCGCAACCGCAAATTTTTCAGGTACGACTTTCAAGCCACCACAACTCACCGCCCTACAAAGAGCCAAAAAATGCTGTTCCCTGCACTTCGCACTTCCAACGTTGAATGAAAAGCTTAATTAACGATTAGAAGTCAGCCCATCAGAATTTCGGTATAAGTGGTCAGTGGTGCGGGATGAAGAAAAACCATGAGAAACGGCCCAGAACCCGAGAAATGGGACCCCTTGCCCGTTGATTCCGCATTGATGCGACTCTCATCGGTGCTGCCCTCTTCAACGCTAACGCTCTCTCTGCTAAACGGCTAGAGACTGCGGCAAGTGGTTAGCCAGTCGGTGGCGTGCCGCGTTGATAGCGCCGCGGCAGGGCCATGTTAAATCGTCAGGAGCGTGTCGGTCCACACTCTTAGGCTGCTTTCATACATGCGCCGTTGCGG